AGGAAAGCTGTAAAAACTTGGCTGTTCCGGCAGGCCTAGGGCTGTTGACCTCACTATTGAGTTCTGGCCCCGACTAGAATGAATTTATGATGGATGATTGTTGTTTCAAATTGCATTGTTTTTATTTTTTTTTATATTCTGTTTGTAAGCCGCTTGGAGTCCTTTTGGATTGGGCAGCATATAAAAGTTTTAAATAAATAAATAAATAAAATAAATGATGAACGGGCTGCATGGAGACTCCTGGGAGAGGAGGGGTGGGGTCGGCAGGGTCAGCTAGTCCTTGTAACTACCAGTTCAGTGAACCAGATTAGAATTAACAGCCAGTTCACCCGAACCGGTCTGAACCAGCTGAATCCCACCCCTGCTCCCAACCATTATACAAAACCAACATCGTAAAAAAATAAAGGCAAAAAAAATCAATACAAACAAAAACAAAAATATCTGGTGCCACAACAGCCTCCCTTGGGTGGAGCCAATAGTGCTCTATTCGGAATCCCAGCATTTTAGCAACTTTGTAAGAACGTGCTATTAGCTTTATGAGTTCATCCTATAATTTTATTGATTTTTGTGGATTTGCATCCCGTTTGAATGTCTTAACAGAAAGTAGGATTCAGATATTTGAATAAACATGTTTTGCATGTGTATAAAAGGCTTTTGTGCGTGTGTGTGTTTTTTTTTAGGAGATGAACTGGAGTATATCAGACCCAATCTTTATCGAAACATAGCACGGCAACTAAACATCTCTCTCCATTCAGAAACTGTGGTGACGGATGCATTCTTGGCTGTGGCCACTCAAATCTTTTCATCAGGTGATGTATTAAAATGCAAACTATGGGCAAAGGAAAGGAAAATTAGGGAAGCCAATGTGCGTAGAGCATAGCGGTTGCTGGTCAGTGGAGTGAGTGGAGGCCACTTGGCAAAGAATACCACTGGCATAAGCAATGGATGTTGCATTAAACATGTATTGTAAGACAAATGCACATTTTTTGGGGGTGGTGGTGGTGGTGGTAAAGAAATATTTTTGCCTCTCCCTGTTTTCTGTCTTCCAGAAAGGGAGCCTCTTTAATGTCAAGTGCTTATTTTTATACTTTCTTGGCAACTGCTATGTTTCCTACAGACAGTTCTGTTTTTCTCTTCTCTTTGGTTTATGAGATTGAATGTGCTCCTGGCTGCAGAATGAGTTTCATTTTACTCTGTTTCTCAAGTAACAAAGCAGTAAGAAAAGGTCTAGATGGAGAATCAAGGAATATCAATATTTGAGCTTCTTGCCTTTGTTCCAGAGACTCGTGCTGATATTTATGATTTTGCCCCCCTCCCCTTTTCTAATATATATTGCAACATTATGAAATAGGCTAAGCTTTTGTGTCACTTTGGAACCAGTTTCAGACCTGATTTATTGCATTTCATTGAGTTTTTTTAACACTGAGGTCTGTCTGTGAGAGTTTATCTCCTCACGTGCACAGTAGTGATTGCAAAGTGGCTGATAAGTTGTTCTTTCATGTTCAGAGCTATTTTAGAGCCTAACAGAAGGAAATGCTTTTTCTTAAGCACATGGTTATTGCGAAACTGTGTTATGATAGCCAGTTGACTAAATGTCCATTCTTCTTCTGAACAAGTCTGGACATTTTCATGGGGGATCAGACTTATCAGCGATTCTTGTTTACTACCTGCTGAATTATAGGCAGCACATCTTAAATTCTTGTTGCTGAAAGCAACAGTGGAAGGGACAAGCGCTCTTCAGTCTAGGTTGGGAACTTATCAATACATCCAGCCACTCTGTACCAGCAGAACTATGGTAGATGTGCATATGACCTGTGTCTGCAAGGCTGTTATTTCAATGCAGCAGAGACAAGTCATTGTATATATATTAGGTTAAAAAATACATTGAAATACCCACCCCCCTGCACTGTTTCCATCATATGTATACGCATGGCAAATGGATCAGTGGTGGGATTCAACCTGTGCAACAACCGGTTTGCTGATCACAGTACATTTGAAAACTTACCTTCTATTGCAGCCCTGGTGCAAAACAGCTGAGGTGCATCAATCCGCTCTGCTGCACCTATCAGCTGGGCTTCAGAAAAGGAAAGATAGGTCAGTATAGCGCAGGGGCGGGCAGGCGGGCTCACCTGATCATCGGAGTGAATCAGTTCGCTCTCAACTGATGGTCAGAGCTACCGTTCACCCGAACCAGCTGAATCCTACCCCTGTAAATGGTATAGATTCAGTCATTCTTTCATTATTATGCCTTCAGAAGGAATAGTGATTCATTCAAGATGATCTCTGTATTTTCAGCATTTTGAGAAGAACAGGAGTGAAAAAATTCATTCATTGGTTTAAAATGTTTTTATGAGAAGTAAAAATAGTATGGTGTGGAAGTAACCATAAAGCTACATAACATATTCAGCAGGGTTGTATATTCATCATAGTTAAGATACTGGCTTAACCAACATTAGACATAGTAAAGGTTCCCATGGTTTGCAAAACTACTTCTTTTGGAGCTCATAATTTGTGACGATTATCACTTTCTGCTTTTAATTTTTGCAGTTATGTTATCCAGAATGAAGTCATTAGTTATGGGGTTCAGAAAAGCTAGTATTACACCAATTCACTTATTTTCAAAATATGTCCATAAGGTTTTCACTCCTTTGTACCTAGCTATAATACAAACATACTGGCATTTTTTCTATTCTGTCTCTATTATGTAATTTTCCAGTAGAATCGAGGGAGGGGTTACGCGTGGGTATTGTCACAGCCTGATTGGTCCATAGACTGAGGGAAATCTCTTTAATATTCCTCCTTTCCCATTGGCTCCCAGTTTTCCTCTCAGTCTTTTGGTCCAAGCACTGTTGTTTTGGCTCTTAGGTAGAAAAAATTTCTAAATTCATTATAATTGATTATTTGATTTGATTGATTGGTTTCTCTAAATTCCAAATTATATCAGTTGTGGCCCCAGGAGCAGTCCTTTCTGCTTCATGCAACTTTCAAGAGCCCTTTGGGGCATTGCCCTCCCACTCCACGGGCCAGGAGCCCTGCTTTGATCCCCGGGCCAGCGGGGGTGACGGGCTTCAAAGCGCAGCTCCCGGGAGCTTGCTGCAAGCCGCAAGATTTAAAAAGAGACTCTGCAGCTTTTTTTCCCAGTGCTGAGAGCCTCGTGAGAGCGCATGGAGATTCCCCAATGCGCCGTTCATCCTTAACTCAATTGCTGCCTTCTGCCGCGCTGTCCTAGATCAGCAGGGGGCCAAGGTGATTAAAGGATGAGCTGCGGCTCTTAAAAGGCAAGCTGCGGGGGGTTGAAAGAGGGTGTATGGCGGGCCAAGGTGGTATATTGGGTTTGTATTGTAGAGGGCATTTTCTATATAAGTGA